AGAGAGAGAGAGAGAGAGAGAGAGAGAGAGAGAGAGAGAGAACAGGACTATGCCCCTATTAGGTGCCTGAAGGCCAGATGAGGCTGTCTGGAGTCCTGTTAGCACTCTGTGCCTTACCCTTTGAAACAAGGTTTCTCAGTGAACCTGGAGCTAGATGGGCAGTGAACAAATATTGATCCTCATGGCTCCCCTCATAGCAAGGTTAAGATGCAGGCAGCCTTGCCTGTCACTTTACAAAGATGCTGGGGATTCTAATTTGGGCCCTTATGCTTGTGCAGCAAGTGTTGTTACAGCTGAGCCATCTAATTTTGTCAGAAAAAGTGTTTAAACCCAGTAATCTAAAAGAGGCATTCTGACACAAAAACAGGGCAAGTAAAAGTAAAGAACTTTTGTTCAAGCTATAGACCATTAGGTACATGGAAATCTCACTACATATTTGTCTTTACTCTTCTAACTTTGGCACAGTGTGTCTGCAGTGCAGCCAGCTACTGTGGAGAGTAGAGAGAAGGACCCTTTACTAACTCAGGGATAAAAAGGTTTCTTCAGCCGGCCTCCCTAATGACCAGAAAAACACTTAAGCTGATTAACCAACCCTCCAACCTTCAAGGTAGCAAAGGTAAGACCCCCCCACAGGTCTGATGTTTCTCTGTGGCCTTCAGCAGCCATCCCAAACTACTGGTCACGTGGGAAGATGTAGCCGTGCTCGTGGTGAGCTCCAGTTGAGAACAACGCCAATTACATCAGAGAGGAAGAAGGACATCAAAGAAACTCGTTATGAAGTTTGCCTTCAACACGGCAGGGATAGCCATTTGGACGAGAAACTGTTATTGTCTGAACTGCTTGACAGCATGCTGTCCAAACTGGACAAGCAGGTTACAAGGAAAAGTGACTGATAACTTGCCAAGGGACAGATGGTCCTTCAAGTTTCCTGCTTTATCAAAAAGTCTGCCAGACATTCATAAAGAGGGATACCTCAACGTTACATAGGAACTTTGGGTGACTGTCGAGGCAGCAAGATGTCTGTCAATTCTAGAGTTTATATTATAACCTTCTGGGGTCTTTGACGGAGTTAAAGACAGTTAGTTATGGTTATGGTTTTTCCTTAGTTATAAAATATAAGTTACATATAAAACTTTAGATTCACAAAGACGGACATGATAGAATATTTTCTTTAAATTTTGCACAATGTTAATGTACTAAATATTGTTAACTATAGTCCTTGCTTGATAACTGTTTTGTTACATATAACTTTATTAAAGCTAAAACCTTCCTTTTTATTTAGAAAGAAAAGTGGAGATGATGGGGGATGTCCTTCTGTATTCGGTGAATATGTTTCTCTTATTGGTTAATGAATAAAGCTGTTTCTGCCAATGGACAGGCAGGATGTAGCCAGGCAAGGAGTACAGGTGGGGCTACCAGAATAGGAAAATACTGGGAAGAGGAATGCAGAGAGTGGGTTTCAAGGGAGACACCATGTAGCTACCAAGGAAGAAAGGCCCGGGCATCACCAGTAAGCCAAGACCACATGGAGATACACAGATTAATAGTAATGTGTTAATAATTAATTAAGAGAGAGCTAGCCAATAAGAAGCCTGAACTATAGACCAAACAGTTTATAATTAATATAAGCCTCTATGTGTTTATTTAGGACTATACAGCTATGGGACAGATGGGACATAAACTTCAGTCTATATTCATGGATATGGCTAAAGATGACCCCAACTGCACCTTCAGAGTGCTGGAATGACAGGCAGATCATTATGCAAGCCCAATATTTATGTGGGTTCTGGGGATCTGAAGGCTGGTCCTCCTACTTGAGTATTTTATCTACTGAGCCAGGTCACCAGACACATACATCTCCACTGCTAGCAAGAACTAGCAGTGATTTGTACACTTACACTTTTTTTTCTTTTTCCT